CATGTATTAGTGCTTCAAATTTGACTTAACAAAAAATAATATGAAAAATAAAAATTTTAAAAATAAAATTAGATTCTTTAACAAAAGTTCGATGTAGCTTTGTAAAAAAAAAGAACTTATTTAAATCGGAATAACATAATTATTAAGATGTCGAACATTATATCGGTGCAATGAATAAATCTTGAATTCAATGTGATGCCAAAAAATTAAAAGTTAAAAAAGTTATAAATAGAAAAAAAAAAATTTAAGAGTGATGTAATCATGGTGTAAATTGTCTATAATCAATACCAAAAATTCAAAAACTACTAAAAATTTTATTTGATGGAAGTCAAGCTAAATCAAATAAATTAAAAAAAAAAAGGTTATAATAATTAATTTGCAATGGCATCAATAAATGCTAATTTAATTAATTATAAAGATAAAAAAATAAGGCTTTATTATTTTAAAAAACAAAGTCAGATTGATTATCAGAATAATATATCAAAACTTGCAATACCAAAGGAAATTAGAAATAAAATATATTAAAATGGACATAGAAGTGCAATTATCATTAAATATACATCCAGGAATGGATCATCGAAGCGAAGAAGATTAAAATTGAGACGAAAAAAAGTTTAAAATAAAAAAAAAAAGTTTATTTTAAGTTTAATTTTAATTAAAACTTAATTGTGAATATTAAAAAAATTAATTTAAATTAATAAATACATATTTAATTTAGTGAATATAATAAAGCAGCGCGCGCGTAGCGCGCGCAGGGGATGTGCTAGTATGTTTAAAAACAAGAATTCCATCATAAAGACATAAACGCCGTTCTTCTGTGCCTTTATACATTTTCCAATAATCCAGTGGTCTGGGTGGTCGATTAAAATCACTTGGACAAAAAGCAGCATGAAATACAAGCAAATTAGAAGCTGTGGCTTTGTCACTTCGTGAAAGCTTCCAGGGACCATTTCAATCCATCCATGCGGAAAGTAGTCGTCTAAAGGCACCGTGCCATACTAAATGAAAAGAATCAAGTCTGAATTGTGATACCATATTTGCAATTCTAAGTAAAATAGTAATTCCGGTATGATGCAGTTGATCATCTTAATTTTTAAAAGATTCGTCTGTACGTAATGTGGCATCCAGATCCAAAAAAGTCATACGATCATCGAGATATTCTTCAATAACAATACATTTCTCATATGCACCGTAACCGTTATGGTTCACACAACATTTTACAAGAGACCGTGCACGAGCATCTAAGATAAAATTGTATAATATAAATGGATATCCCATGCAATTGCGCATATATCCATGTGCTGAAAGATACTGAACTTCAATCACAAAATTACGCAAATAAGAATGCACATCAATTGGATCCCATTCACCAATATACAAACCAATTAAAAATGGCTCATTATCTGTATACACAAGACGGCCCAATTGTGGCCAAAATTCGATACGTGAACTTTTTGTTATAGGCAGTCCATCCATGTTAATATCAATAGTAATGTTACCATATTTTTCCAGATATTCATCCAACAACATTGCATCTAAATTTCTTACAATTCCTTTATACCAAAACGTTGATCCATCAGGAAGTTCCAATATCTCGAGATGTTTGGGTGTACTCAACAGTGTCTTGTAAGTTTTTGGCAAAGTTGGGAAAAATGGATTTAATCTTAGTAATAAATTATCGAGTTTTTTCTTTGAGATGATCCCGTCATAAGTAGCCCACTCTCTCAAATTTTCTTTCACATAGTTAGTCTTCTGCTCCTCAGTTCCAAAATAATTTTTATTTATACCATATTCATTACCACTATCTTCTAAAGCATTATCTTCCTGGTCAACTTCATGTTCGAATATCATGTCATCATTTTCATAATCTGATAAATGAAGCGTTTCAATCACATCTTGTTCATGATTTTCTTCTTGTAAACTTTCATTTTCAATGTTTCCAAAACATCTGCTTCAAAAATATTATCTTGTACTTCATTTATTTCACTCATGTACTCCTCATCTGAAGAGCTACTATCTATCATACTAGGCTCAATAATTCTCTTCCTCAACCTTTCAAGCGATGCCACTTCTGCAAGTTCCTTAGTTGCCTGCTTAACTGTCTGCATGAAATAATTTCGCAAATGCATACGAATAATATAATTAATGATTAAGCAATAAACCATTTCGAAGATCACACGTAATATAAAAATATATAAAAAAAATGATATGTATATAAAATACAATTAGCATTTTTATTCTACGTTTTTATTTATTATTTTTAAACTGATTACTATAATAAATGAAAATATAATTTCTGAAATATTTAATAAAAAGAATGCATAATATATATATATAGGAAAATAATATTTTGTTTGCGTAACATTTTTATACATTATTACTTAACACATATCGCGAGCGAACTTAATAAATTTTAGCTCGGACAATCGGCAAAAAAAAAACAACACAAATTTTTGGTTTAGATATTTTAACATATTTAAAATTTGCCCAATTAAAAAATTTTAAAAAAGCCAATTTGAAAATTTACTACATGTGATACATTTCAAACCGTACTGAAAAAAATCACATCACGAAATTACATAACGAAATCATGTAAATCATTAAAACAAATAAATTACATAATGGAATGTCTATCAAGCTAGAATGCCAACATGGGCATAATCATACGAAACACATGGAGGATTTAGTGCTCTTTACGTGCTAATTTGTTGCTGTAATCCCGATTTTTGTGCTCAAGCCGTTTAACGGAAAATGAGTTTTCTGCTGAATTTTAATAAAGTTAGAATGCATTTAAAAAAAATAATAATAAAAATAAAAATAATAACACTATAATTTTGTGCTAATTATGTGCTTTTAATAAACCATAATAAAAATATTAGTATTCATCTCCTTTGACCGGTAAATCACCCCCGAAGCGTTCACTCACTTCCCTTTGCAAGAGTAAAGTGCCAGTTAAAATGCAGGTAGCGAAATGTTCCTAGGCTCAAATTGTTCCTCCATTTATGTGCTTTCAAAATATGTACGACAAGATTTTTGTGCTCATCCCCTTTGACCGGTAAATCACTCCCGAAGCGCTCACTCACTTACCCTTGCAAGAGTAAAGTGCCAGTTAAAATGCAGGTAGCGAAATGTTCCTAGACTCAAATCGTTCCTCCATTTATGTGCTTTCAAAATATGTACGACAAAATTTTTGTGCTCATTCCCTTTGACCGGTAAATCACTCCCGAAGCGCTCACTCACTAATTTTACTGTACTACTGTACTACTCAGTAATTTTACTGCATTTCTTTTTTCATTTTGTATGTAATTTAATGAAAGAGGTGCTCACTTAAGCCAGCATCCCCAGTTTCAATCGCGATTTTTTGGTAAATTATTTGAGCACAAGGATTGACACTAGAGCACATAATTGACACGTGAAAAACGTTTCATTCTGGCATAGATACCATTTTGATTTTTTGTGTTGGGAGGTGTTAGCTTAACAGGTATTAAACAGACGTAAAATATTAATTAATATAATTAAGGTAC